ATGTGTTGCTCTGCCTAGCTGCACTCTTACTCCCTGCAGGCATTCCATTTACTCAGGAAACGCAAGATTGATAGAGGGCTCTAAAAATGCAAAAATCTTGAGAAAAATCTCTGAACTAAGGTTCCTTCAACAGTCATCTAAACACTACGAATGATCTATATTACATTCTGCAGCACTTTCTCCCCATACACTCATCAGACAGTGAGCACCAAGGCTTACAGACTAATCAGAGAAGAATTAAAAAAAATACTAAGTTACAGAACAATATTCTGTGAAACAGCTTCTGGTATATCACCTCATTCATCAAGGTTACTATAAATCTGATGCTCTAGCAATATCAATTATAATTAACCCTATCTAGATTATGGCAATATGAACAGTCTCTTAAATAACTGACTTTTGTCCTTTAAAACAAAAAGCTATAGTTTTTAGGATAGCATCTTAGTTTTTAAAACAGTATCAAGTGTCTTTTCACAAATGAAGTCCAGATCAAATAATTTACCAGCACTAAGTCAGACTGATGAGGTCTGATGACCGATAAAAACATTATTCCCACCACTATCAATGCTATCACTAACAGCAAAAGAATTTAAGATGACATGATGGTAACCTAAGAGGAATGTGAGAAAATTACATTTTTCAGAAAGCAATACCCCTTAGGGGAAGGATCCAGATGCAGAGAGACAATAGTCAACTCCTGCTGTGCTACTGCTGCACTGCATGGCCTTGCGTAAGTCATCTCATTTTACTCATTTATACCTGCGAAATGATCTTTTAAGCTTCTCACTTGTTTCTAGGGTGTTTTGGAAGATTAAAGGTCTAAAATTCAAACATACTACAAGAATGGTAGCTGAGATTTCTGACATAAGAGATTTTTTTTTTATGCCCCCTGTGTGAAAGGAAAGTAAGCATGGAAAAGACCAGATAATCCAAATATTTTCTTGTGCTATAGCATGTTCAGTACTGAAAACACCTGCAGTTCTTTGCAATAGCTATTGGAAGACTACAAATTTCTGTTAAGAAAGTATCATGTGTCATCTACCGGAAAAATCAGATTTCCTCCTAAGTAACATGTAGTATGTAAGAGAGTCAACAGGGCAAACTGTTCTGTAGTACTGCTTAACTCTACTTTATCCTGTATATCATCCTCAGGTTGCTGGTCTTGCAGTTTTCCGGAGTAACTTTTCTCATCAGAACTCCTGGAAAGTAAGTGCTGAATGAGTGACAGGGACATCTGTAGGAGTAAGAAGGAGAACAATTTCTACACAGAGGCTCCTGCTATACCAATAAAGCAAAAAAGGAAACTAATGTGCTGGGACTAACAAGGCTCTATGTTTAAAAAGAAGGGGTGCCAAGAGATGTCTTATTTAGGAAAAGCTTAAACACTGTGCAGATGGAATCCGGTGAGCTCCTCTGATGTAGAGCAAGCTAAAAATTTGAGTTATATTCCTCTTACAGAAGGTTTGGGGAGGAACAGGATGGATAGAGATCTCAAAATCATTGGGTTTGGAGCTGAAAAGTAGACAGGAGTTTGGTTTTTAAAAAAGAAAGCCTGGTATTAGATACAGTGGTACTGAAACTAATGCTGGAGACAGACACTAAGACAACAGCAGGACTCCTGATAGCATCAGAAAAGCAGTAGCAGTTTGGTACCCAAAGGATCAGCACCCATCCCCTGTTGACTAAGCAGGCTTGGTTCAACTTCGATATTATAAATTAAAGTGTGAGCTCTGTCAGTCTGTGTAGGATAGGTTATATTTCTATCTCTATGATTAAGAATAGTTGGGTGTCAACTTTCTTTTTAGCACCTTCAATCTCTTACTAAACTGAAGAACACTGATGCCATCTGGTAGTTTATGAAATGTAATAAAGTAGTTGCAGGATAGCAGTCAGAAGACTGTCCACAACTGCTCCATCTTACATGCTCTATAAAAGGGGAACATCAACAGCCAACAACTGCTAGCAAGACTAGAGACTCATATCTGAGATGCATGTGTATCAAATGCAATCCATACAAAATGCAATTTTACTTGATTACAGAAGCACCAGAAAACTGCCTATGCACCTTTATGTTTTCAATCAATCCCTGCAGTAATAGCTTACTACTTATTAAACACATAAAAAAGCATACAATTTACAGAGAAGTAGCACCAATTTTACCCTAATGGAAGACTTCATATAATGGATGTACCAGACATAGATGACTTTGTAAGAAACCCCTTAGCTAAAGTAACATAAAAGCAGTTGTACTGGATAAAACCAAAAGCACAATCTTAGCACTTGTCTCTCACACTGACGAGAAAGCAAGTGTTTAGGGATGAGAACTAGGCAAGCAGAGTGTGATACCTTCCTTTCAAGTACTCAAATACCATCCTCCAGTATTTTTAATGTTTATAGGATTTCATTGTATGTTTAAGTTACCTATTTCATTCAGCTTATCATCACTAGATTCTCCCAAATGCTAGAGAATGATTGTCTTTACAATTCCATTCTTTCTTATAGGGCATGTATATTACTACATATACAGTGTATGACAAAATTGATCATATTTTTTCCCCAAAATCAGTGTGAACAGCACAACAAATTTCCACATGGCTAAGCGTGACGAAGTCATACAATGTACCCATAGATATAAATAATATAAATAGTATTAAATAACAACTGTAGTGGCACAAGAAACATCACCACCACCACCACTCCCAAATGAAATTAAAAAAACAAACCACACAATATCCTTTCAGGTAAGAATTTGACCAGGATCTGAAACCTGATGCATATGCAACAGCAGTGAATGGGTCTCAACTCAGGATCTCTTCTAATTTTCTGAATTTTAGGAAAGTTACTGGCGCTATACATCAAATAAAGAGTAATATGCACTAAGACTACCATGAAATGCAATAAAATAAGAATATAAGAATAACGGTATCTCTTCTTGGCTAGAATTTTCTCAACGTTTCCAATAAGTTTAGGGGCATGGGGGGAGTAGTACCTGCTATCATAACATAGAGCTTTAGGAAGTGCAAGCATCTGCTGCTTCAACAATTCATGGCATTTATCCAACTGTACCCCACGATCACTAAAGGAAAAAAACAAACAACCAACCCAAAGCCAACTCAAGTTTACTTATAATCAGTTGTTAAGAACATTGGATGGATACATCTGGGCTCAAGTTTAAACTTTAAAATTATACTGGATAAACAGATGGTGCAAAACTAGAATAAATCTGCTCTATTTTCATGTCTTCACACATTGCACAGCAACGAACAAAAAGAGATGGGGGGAAGATTAGGAAATCTTGAAAGATTCCTCTGCTCCGGAGCTCCTAAAGTGATTTTACCTAGAAAAGAGTAATGTTTTCAATGTCAATGTTTACTTCAACAGAAATCAAAACTTCAGAGAAAGGGTCTGACCAGTCATACTCTCCTGGACTGCCTATCTGGTGGGCAACAAGAGAACAGTGATACACATGGATAAACAGTGAACAGCCTACACTGGCAGGGGAAGAGAAAAAAAAGACGCTGCAACGAAAATTAATTTGGTCTGGAACACACGTTCTAGCAAATGGGGCAAAAGATTATGAGAAGAGATGGAAAATTCAGCAAACTGCACAGAAGGAAAAGCAACTCAAGGAAGCACGGATGTGTGTACAGGGAACAGATGGCAGCATAGCACTGAGAAGCAGAGATTTTTACATATACTGAACCCATGAAGAGCTAAAAAAGTTCACTTAAATTAAAAAGGTATGCCCCTTGCTTCCCTCTTCCCATCTGTCTGTGGAAAGTCCTCCTTTAGCAGGACCTATTGGATCCGCCAAAGCAGGACTCTTGTGCTGACAATTTTATATAACTACGGATTTATATTCTTTTCTCCACTCTCAGAATACTCAAATATTCCTTTTCAAGGTGCTTCCAAAAAAACCTGAGAAATGGAGACTAGTAGTAAGTTCGGATAGCCACTATCACACGGATCTTCTATTGACCTTCCATTTGTTTTCAATTCTAAGCTTGGAAGGCAGGACTGTGACAGCATGTAGATGACTGAAGTTGTATTTATGAGTTC